AACAGCAGATATGCGGAACTTCTATTGCGATTCTACTTTTGACAGTATGGAGAGAAACGGAAAGAACAGAGGCAGAAAAGGCCATTTACTTGACGTCGTTCTTGCTAGATCTCACACTTGTGATGATCTCTACGCGGAAGATGATTTTACTGTGTTCATTAGAATCTGGGTGAACGGGAATTGAATCAACTTTATTTACATAAATTCAACTTCAATGACTCTAAAGTCAAAAGATTTCCACCGCAAGCTTCTAAGGTCTCTGCTGGATTCAATACACAGTCATGGCAAGTCTTTAATTGAGATGCCAATTAAGTCAACTCTTGAAAGTCAAGGCTATCTTAACAGGGGCAACTGGGCTGTGAAAAGCTTCTTAGCGCGAGCGCTGGGGTTCATGTTGTGGTGACAGTAGTAAATAAGTTGTAGTCTGAAAGCATTGTGCGTTTAGGTCGGTTCTCGTTTGTGACTAATTCCGAGGTTGCGGAGTTTTGCAGCTCGGTTTTCAATCCTAGCTATTCTGGGTCAATATTCCGTGCCGACGGGAGCGCCACGTCATAGGTGGGCATTATTAGGTACCTCTCAAAAGGCGTGGAAGACATCTCGTTTCTGCCAGGAAAAGACTCTTCTCATCCGTGCATCGCGAAAAACCTCAAAGCGCACAACACCAGATTTGTAAGCTCTGGACGATTATAAGGGCTTTTGTCGCTTTTTGGGTGCCGCGAAACCCAAACATCAATCCACTCCGCCGATCGCCCAACATGGCTTACAGTGCGGAGCAACTCGACCAATACTTCAACCACATCAATTACCCTCGCGAGAAGCATGCATCGGACCCGCTTCAGCGTCTCACGGAGATCCAGGCACATCATCTTGCGAGAGTGCCGTTCGAGAGCTTGACACTACATTACTCGAAACACAGGCTGATCTCACTAGATCTGCAGGACCTGTTCCGCAAGATAGTCATTGAGGGTCACGGCGGCTACTGCATGGAGGTGAACGCCTTCCTCGGCGCGATTTTAAAATGTATGGGCTACACTGTCCTCAGCGTTGGTGGAAGGATCAAAGGAGATGAACGTTTCGGTGGATGGTGAGTTTCGCGACTTCAACGTTGCGAATCGTCTAGTGATGACTCATTGATCCCAGGTCTCATATGGTCAATCTCATCCGCATTGGCGGACAGCGTTACATGGTCGATGTCGGCTTCGGAAAAGGTGCAGCAATGGTTCCCGTACCTTTGAACAGCGGTCATGAGTTCACCACCATCGCACCATTGAGGGGCAAGCTTGTCTACGAGAAACTGGACCAGCACACAGACTCCGACCAGCGCACGTGGGTGTACTACTCCACAGACAGCGCCGATGGCCCTTTCAGGCAACGTAACTGCTTCACCGAAATGGAGTTCTTCCCGGAAGACTTTGAGGTCATGAACTTGGCCACCATGAGCAGGCCGACGAGTTACTTTGTCAAGACCGTTCTTGCCATGAGAACGATCTTGGACCCCGAAACACGAACAGCGGTGGGAACTCTTGTTTTGCATAAGGATGAGGTGAAGCAGAAGATTGGCGACAATCTCGAGCTCCTGGAAACACTAAAGAATGAGGCACAGCGCGTTGCAGCTTTGGAGAAGTACTTCTCGATTAAGCTGAGGCCAGAGGAACAGAGAGCCATCAAGAACATGCCTACGGAGCTGTTGGAGAGTAAATAGACGGATCTAATTGATAAACCATTGGATGATATAGTAGAGTTCTGCAGCCCCTATTTCATCTCTGCAGTCTCCGCGTGTGAGCCTTCGACAGTCTCGCGCTCCTTCTCATGCAGCCTGTTCTCCAAGTCCCGACTGTGGTGCCTCCTAGTGGTCTTTCCTGCTACGAACCAGCTGTTGCTAGAGAACAGTTCGTTCATCTCTTCCAATGGACGGCTCTTGGTCTCGGGAAGGAAAGCCCAAAAGAAGATAGCATTGGTGATGTTACAGACGACGAACAGGAAGTAGAACCTGTAGCCTACAGACTCCATGGCCTCCGGAGTTACTTGGCCCTGCAAAGATTGTCAGGGTCTATTCGAGCACAATTAAGAGTCAATTCCACTTACTATCATAGTGTTGAAAGCAAATGATACCATGGTGGTGATGCTGACACCCTTAGCACGAGTTCTTGTATCGAAGACTTCGGCGCAGATGATCCAACTCAGTGGCCCATTGGTCGCGCTGAAGGAGAAGTTGTACAGCCAGGTGACAACAATGAAGCCCCACTGAGCGCTCAGGTTGTTGGATTCGCCCGGAGGGAACTTGGCCAGAAGAACCGCGGCGATAATGAAGGTCACAGAGTTGAACAAACTGCCTCCAATAAGTGGCCAGCGACGGCCGAGCCTGTCGACAAGCAGCATTGCGCAGATTTGGGCGATGATCGCTAGGCCATTGCTGATACCTTGGTACTTCAGCGTGTCGTCGGTCGCAATACCGATTTGCTCGAAGATACGAGGAGAGTAGTACTGTAATTCGTTAGTTCAGGACTGTTGGTATCATTCTCATGCGACAGCATACCTGAATCGCAGAGACTCCAGTCATTTGAACCGATGCTTGAACAGCACAACAGAGGAATAGACGCCGAAAAGAGCTCTTGGAACGAAAGAGTTCCATATAAGACTTGGCTTCATTGTGGTGCTCGTGAGAGATGGCCGCCTTGATTTGCTCATACTCGGCCCGGACGAAAGGGTCGTCGACGTTGTGGTTCGCGTGGAGTCGTGCCAGGGTCTTGAGCATGTCCTCGTCTCTTCCCTTGTCACCAAGCCATCTGTGAGGGACGTCAGGTTTTGTGGTTGCCACTTGGAGAACGTAACGTACCTAGGACTTTCCGGAAACAAAAAGGTCAGAAGAGCGAGAAGCAGTGCTGGGATGTTCTGGATCGCCAGTGGAATCCGCCATTGCGCACTCGTCGTGGTCAGGTTGGTATAGCAACCCCATCCAACCCATGTCGCAACGAATGCCCCGATACCGATCATGAGTTGCTGCAAAGCCGTGACGGTTCCACGAATGCTTGGGTGAGCTAGCTCGGCCTGGTAAAGGGGGACGATCATGCACAGAGCTCCGACACCGATTCCGGAGATGAACCGCCCAGTCCACATCATGTGGATATCACGGGCTCCCGTTTGGAGACCTCCGCCCAGCAAGAAGAACACGGCTCCGGTGACGATGGTTCCTCGTCGGCCGAGGCGGTCTCCGAGAGGACCAGCGGCTCCGGCCCCGAAGAAGGCGCCCGCCGTGAACATTGATACGACAAGGCCTTCAGTGGACGTGTCTGGACTGAAAGCATCTTGGAAGGTATTTGATGCTACGACTGCCGCGATAACACCTAGGTCGTAACCGAAAAGAAAGGCTCCGAGGGATGCAAAGACTCCCACGAGCCATTGGTAAACTTTGGGGGAAAGAAGCGCCATTGTGACAGGAGATCCGTAGATCTATGGAGACCACTTGGGATGCAGAGTGCTATTCTCTCCATAACATCGCTGTCGTTGATCCATCCTGTCGACCTCTTATACCAGCGCCGATCCGGGGAAGTAGAGTAGCCGCCTGTTGTGGGGCAGTGTTCCGGGTCCGCAATTTCGGTCGCTTCGGTAGACCAACACCCCGGACTCAATTCTGGTTCGCGCGGCTCTGAGTACGGGTCTTGGTACCTTGCTTGGCTCTCAATAGTGACGCAAACGGCCAAGGGCTGCTGAACGCGCTTCTTGGACATAAACCTTGCCGAGGCAGGCCACCTGACAAATCACACCACGTTTTCTTGCACTCATTGAATGTCAAAAGGACATTTGAGTGCGTCGTGACGTCGATTCTTTCCCTATGGAATTCGGTACCCGGCATGTCACCCGATCTAGATGCAGCACAGTGGAACCCGACGGGGACTCGGAGGCCTTTGACAGCAACAGCGCCAATCCGGATCAGTAGCGAGCTTGAGTATCCTCCAAAGTTCTGTCAAAGAGAATTATTGGATGCCTTCTCAGAAATGCGACAAAAGGAAACGGATTTCTGAGGCGTTATGTGAAGGAACACGCATCGACCGAGGCCGAACGCGGGAGCCGGCGGCCGGCTTTCCCCCGGGACCCACCCGTCGGCCTTTGAGTCCGGCCCCAGGTTTCGGTTCAGCGGCCAAGATTACAGATGGGAGCCTGGTGGAAAACGTGACTTCGTGTTCCCCATTGCCCCGCACGCGTCTGGGCAAACGCGTCAACAAGAAAGCAACAAGCACGACTGATGTGGCTCCCCAGCTTCGATAGATCACCCTCGCGTCGGTCTAGTCATTCGTTTCTAGCAGCCACTGGGCACCAAGCTTCGTAACCATTAGTCATTATGCCCGATAATCGCCTTGGAGATAATCCATCCGAGGACGGCCCTCGACCCAAAAAGAGGAAGATTCGGAAGGGCACGACAAGCTGTTGGGAATGTAAGGACGCCGGAATCTACACCACAAGATTCGTTCGCATGCTGATTGACATCTGCCAGGCAAGAAACGAAAGATACGGTGCCAATTCGCCTCTGTATATCACGAGACTTGCGAGGGGTGCGAACGACGCGGAACAGCATGTTTGACGCAAGAATACGACAACGAGATCACAGACCAACGGACTGCCGGAACGAGCAAACACAAGGAAACTGAAGAGAGGCTGAAAAGGGCCGAGGAACTTCTCGAGAGAATGATGGAGGCGGCCACCCATTTGACGCCAGCGACAGAGTCCCTCGTTCCACCAGAGGGGCACTCGCCAGCTCATGTTCATAGAGAGCGTCAGTTATCTAGCAATTTCTGTCACAGTCAGCGTCTCCATCATCATGTCCTAGCATCCAGGTCTTTGACAGTACATTGGTATGTTTGTCAAAATCCTCATTATGCGTAGTTAACTGAATGAAGTAACAGGTTGACGAAGGTGTTGACTTGCCGGACAACCTTGGACAAGGTCCGCCGCAGACTCGCCAAGATCGATATCAGAACCTCTGCACACAGCTTCACGAAGCCATGCCCACCCAACGAGATGCCGACTTCATCATCTCTGCAGGACGTACAGCCGCGTTTCTCCAATTTTTCACACTTCCCTACCGCGACCTATTCAGCGGTAATACGCGTCCGTGTTCTTCGCTTTCTGCCCTGCCTGATCAATCAGATCACCCTGTTCTCCTGGCTAGGACTCTCTTGTACCTCGCCAACGGTCTTCAGAATCTTCATCCGTCTACTCCGAATACGCATCTTCTTAATCTTGACCGGCCATTGGAGGCCATGATCGGGTTCATCCACGCGGCTTCACTGGTCACCAAGGACGACGAGCTCATGTGTTCCTTGGAGGGTCTCGAATGCCTGATCCTCGAAGCTGTGTTTTACACCAATGCGGGTAACCTCCGCCAGGCCTGGCTAATCATCAAGCGAGCGATCGGGCATGCCCAGCTCTTGGGGCTCCATCGTAATCAGCCTAAGAGCTATGCCATCCTCGACCCGACGTCGAAGGCATCGCCCTCCATCATGTGGCATAGGATTGTTAGTCAAGATAGATACTTGTCGCTCATGCTAGGTCTCCCTGCTAACACAGCGAGCTCTGCATCCCCTGAAGTAGCTTTCGTGCCAGGGGAGTGCCCTAGCGGGTATCTTGAGCGCTCCCACTCCATATTAATGGGGCGCATAGCTGTCAGGAATGACGAGGATCAAGGTATACATGACCTCTCCATCACCCAAAGCATTGATCGAACAATTCAGGGAGCGGCCCAAAGCATGCCTCCCGAGTGGTGGTTTCTGCCTAACACCAGAAACAAGCACATGTCTGTTAAGCCGGATGGCTCACAAACCCTGGAGGGCATCCTGCGTGTGCTTCTTCAAATCACACACTTCAACCTCCTTATCCTTCTCCATCTTCCATGCATGCTTCGATCATCTGGCGAAAGCCTCTACAACTACAGCAAGGTCGCATGCGTGAATGCCAGCAGAGAGCTTCTGAGCCGCTACGTCAAGTTCCGATGCATGAACCACAATGCCTTTTGTTGTAGGAGCATCGACTTCTCAGCTTTCACAGCCTGCCTGGCTCTTGTGCTAGCGCACATTGAGAGATGGCAACGGGGGACAGAGGCGGTAGACTTCCTGGCCCATCAACGGTTGAGCGATCGGGCTATAGTCGAAGAAGCTGTCGAGCTCTTCTTGGAGGTGAATGGATCAAGCAACGATGGCTTGCTGGAACACACTGCTTCTATACTGAGGTCCTTGCTGGACATGGAGGCTGATGCTGCCGCTCAAGCGACTTCCCCAGTTGATCTCATCGCTGCAGAGACTCATCACTCGCGTCGCTGTCTATATCTCAAGATACCGTACTTCGGAGCCTTGACTATCACTCGTCATGGGATGTCTTCAAAATCAGCATCGGTCGCCTCCTCACATTTGACCCCCTACGCAACAGATAGAGATTTAGGGAACACCGATTTTCGCATAGTCCATCAACAATACTTCCTATCCGACGGCCCCTGGTCGCTTGAGCCCGCATTTCTCCCCAATGACTCCGAGCAAAGCACCCTGTGCACAGGTCTGCCTGCCAATCCAGAGGAGTGGTTGCTGTACCCCCACGACGGTGGTCATATTGGCGAGGATACCACCTGTCCGCCCGCAGAAGTTCCCACAGATATACCAGAGGTATTGGCGTATTCTTGGCCGTAGATGGTCTCGAACCGTTTGCCTCGACATCGGTCTCTCTCTTATCATGATGGTGCTCAAAATCGGGACTAAGGGCCGGTCTCAGTGATCTGGAAACCAACGCACGTGGGTGAGAGAAAGAGATCTCATCTTTACAAGGTGTTTGCTTCGCTGTCTTCCTACTGATATTCAGGCCTTAATCAAGCTTGTTACCCAACGTCCCAATCGTGGCTCTTTGTCGTAGCGTTTTACCTGCCGGGGGTCAACGATGAGTTTGAGAAGAGCAACACAAAAGGTCTAGAGGTGTTCTTGATAATCTTAATGGTTCCTAGATCTATTTTTGACAAACGACTGTTGGTAACACGTAGCGATTATGTGCAGGAAATGACAGTGACTGGATGTCTGTGTCTGTGAATGAATCTTCACCACAACATCCCGAGTTCCTTGAAGGTCTTCCTAGACATGATCTTTGCATATCTGCAAGCCCTACTGCGTGTTCTGGCTCAGCTCAAGGCAGTCTTTACTGTCCCTGTTAGTAGCCCTTATCTAACGCTGCAGCATGCCTCAAAACCTCTCTAGGCTTCTTACACTTGGGTCAACATCATGGTTAGCGCGAAACTTGAACAGCATTCCGCGCCATCGTTGACCGAGAACCGGTTCTCACACTTAGTTCCGATTACATCGCAACTCATACACTCAGCCATGTTCCGATCCCAAAATCTGCAGACGTTTCTCACGAAGCTACCGGAACCTATTCTAGTTACGTTCGGGCTAGTCAGGAGTATATTATCACGAATACTTTCGTTCTCTAGCCAGATAGTCTCTTCAATATGAATGGTAGGGACAGCCTCGCTCGCCCCAAATAGGCGATTCCCGGTCCCGCTGGCCAATGAACTATGGTAGCAGCAATTGAGTTCAGACTCTGTCTTCTTAATTCACCACTACTGCATAGCACATATCTTACTCCCCGATGCTTATCCATGCGCCAAGAAGGGGGCAGTGAAGCTCTGAAATTCAACCGAATAACACGGTTAAAGCGAAGGAGAGAGCGAAAACGAGAGCCTCCCGTCGGCTGCCTTGCCCGCGAACAATAGTCTGCAAGCTCAGCCTTTCCGCCTTGAACTCATTCAGGTGCAACGAAATACACCGCTTGGCAACGCTTGGCCCGACACTTCAATTGAGTTTTTCCCGGTTAATTCAACCAAGACAACTTTCGTGACTTTCCTATTTGAGCTCGGGTAGGAGCTACAGCAACTCGACAAACCATGACTCGACCCCGCTTTGCCCGCGTCCCCTTTCCCCTTCTCAAACGCGAAAAAATACCCCCAAGAAATGATCGTCGTGTCACAGTCGCAGAAGATCTCGTCTCAAAGACCGCCAAGACAGCAGGAGCTGTGTGATCTGCACGCGACAGCTCGCCAACTCCTGCCTCCTTCACCCCTCCGCCCGGTATCGCACTAATGTATGCTTATAATAGTCTAAACGACCTCACCCTTGATCCCGTCCCCAGCCGCATTGGAACGTTCAACGTATGGTTCGTGTAAATCCTCGGGATCTTTGCCGTGCGTTCTGATACCAAAGTCTAATGGCGGCGGCGGCGCGGAGATTGTCGAGGTTTTCGAAGGGGGGCGTGGGATGCAAGTCATGCTGACTGACAACTGACACAGGAACCGGTTATCGAACTGAGTATCGCAGCACGCATGGACCGTCGGAAAGCCTTGTTTTCGCATGTATTTGTCAAGTGATCACCATCGAAGTTTCCAAGACCGAGGAACTGGTTAAAGCAGGGCGCCCAAGAGCGACCATGCTCTCGTCCCAAGGCTCGGACTCCGAGTCCTCACACGTGCCATGGGTATCCCTTCTGGAACCCCGAGCGTCGAGTCGCCGATAGCATGTCAGCAGCGACGAACAACATTAAGGTTAATCCCTATTTTGCGCCGACGAGAGACTATCTGAACTGCCGAGCCTCGAAAAGGCTCTGGCAGAACACCCACAGCTGGACCTAAAGGACCTTAAAATGGGCAGGAACATGACGGCTTCATTTACGCTTAGTAGTTGATGACACTTCTTGATAATGCATTTGTCAAGAGCAATAGTAGAGGTATTAAGACAGCTTAAATGACTTTGACGGGTGTCACCAGAAACCGAATCTTTGAGCTTCCTGCTGCATGCGGCCACATGAACCTTCCTTGATTAGCCCAAAGGATATTCACAACGATAATGGCTCCAACAGCAGCAGCCTCCTGATCATGGTTTGTCCCAACTAGGGCTCCCATGGCGGAAGAAGCCAGACGCGATAGAGTTGCAAAACTGATGTTCACGTTATTCTAGTTTCAGCAATTCAAGCATATTTTAAACAAGGCTGTCCCTTGAGCCTGGCAACGTTATCTATCAGACCCAACTTCAAACGCTTCGAACTCGACTGCGACCTGCCAAGAAGCTCGAATTAGATGATGAGCAGCTATTTGCTGATCTGCAGAGGCAATGATACTGATAACAAGAACTGACACAAGAGCCTGCGAGAACAGCTTGTATTTGGTAGCTGCCGGGGGAATCAGCTAGCTCCGTGATGTTCACGTTCCAATCGCTTGGGTCGATCTCCAACCTTCGTCTAAAGCCTCGCCCGAAGTTCGAGATCCCACTGGCCGGTTGGACCTGCCTGCGGCCGCCGCGGGCTGCGAACACCATCTTCTTTCCATCGCTTGTAAAGTTGCGCTCCCACGCGAGCCTTTCGTGAGTTAAGCTCGTAACCTTGAAGCTTAGGCGCGACTGCGAGATCGATGACGAAGACTGCCAACTAAACTAAAGACTTAACCTTGACGGGAACCTAATCCAGCAGATGGGTGCCTATTCGTAAATACGAACCGAACCGAACCGCTGCTGCGTGACTGCTGTCGCTGAGCGTGCGGGCTGCGGCTGTGTGTCTCTGTGCGCTCATTGCGTGTTTCCTCCAGACGGAAACTCTCATCGAAACAAGGTGATGGTTCGCGCAACTTTAGGCCTACATAGGCTAACGCCTGATAATTAGCCCAGAAAGTCTATGCTAAAGTGTTCTGTACTACGGTCGAAAAAACGCAAGGTTAACCTCAAAAACCTTTGGCACCACCATCTTCGGATCACTCGCACCGAACAGCCCCCTTCCTGTGCACCCGGTCGAGGAGCAGACCCATGTTGGGAAGCCTGTGCCGAACAACGGTCGTCTCAGAAAATTCCGCCTCCCAACTCCCGTCCCATCTGATGACGCAAAAAGGCAATACCACAACCACCTTAAATCGTTTTAGCTTTTTTCCCTTCTTGTTTCTTAGAGGCACTCCCTCCCACCTTCCCGACGTTCCCTGTCCCCCAACGTCCTTGCGACGCGAGGCGAGCACACACCAGCAAGATACAGAGATACACACGCGACACCGGCAACGCGAACTGTCTCGTCTAGACATGCCCTCTATTTTTGGCTCTCCCTTTAACCCCCAGAATTTGGCTTCGCGAATTCATGCCCTTTGGGCAACTTGCGCGGCACTTTAAAATCACCCGCATCGACATGGGATGCCATCCCAGCGTCTGGTGTGTTCCCAACCATCAAAAGAACCCAAATGGACCATCCATCCCCTTTGTACCATCTGCGGGTTCGCAGGGGGTGAGCGTAGATTGGGGGCCGCGCGGAAGTGAACCTTACCCAGCTGTAAGTGCAGCGTCTCCACGGCTTGCGCGGGCAGAACCATACAAGAGTGAAAACTCCGAGGCAGATTGAATTAGATGCGTTTGGCGCCGAGCATCTCGGCCCCAAAAGAAATGCGCGAACATGGGGCATCACTAAAGGATCTTCCCCTGCGTCAAGTCTCTTCGCCTCCCCCCCGGTATTGTTCGATTAACCTATCGAACTAGCGGCGTAGTGAGATTTGGGCCACCACTGCCAGCCGGGAATCTGACAAGACGCGCGTAAGCTCCAAAGTCGACGAGTCCGGCGCCGTTCTGGGGCCATGATCGAGCCACCTGAGTATCCACCCCCACCGGCCCGAGACGACTTGTCCGGCGCCGCGTCCGCGCCGACCAGCGAGGCTGCTGTGTCCACCTCTGCAACCGTTGGGTTGGAGGTGATATCCAAAGACAGACATTGGTTCGCTGATGGGACATGTCACGCCTTGGCATGGCTTTCGCTGACGAACACCAGGAGGTGAAAGTGGATGGAGGCAGCGTCCCAGACCTCCTTAAGGGCTCCATTGAGTTCCCACTAAACCGGGTTTTCCGGCGCCCTAGCCCAGCTGGGCCACGGGCTTTGCATTCTGCTCCAAACCCATCGGCCCCGAAGATGACGGACGAAGTGGACAGGAAAATCTCGAATATGGAAATGAGTATATTGCAACTTGTTTATTTCCCCTGCGTAGCGGCACATCGCGCCGTTCAGTCCCACGTGGTTTAAATCCGTTCGAGCCGGGGAGCGCCCAAGGAAGATAGGGGAGTTGAGGCTGTGCAAAGTCGCCGCGTCTGCCGTCATCCCTCGCGTCCACCTCATTTCGGGGGAGCCTCCTGTATCTTCACATCCCCGAATCTCACCTACAGCGGGCATTGACGGCTCAATCATGTTGTACTAACGTCTATCGTAAGGGGACCAAAAAAAAAAGTGGCATTCTTTCCGAGGGAACCTTTCCGAGGCGGCGGAATAGACAATCGCTCGATGGTAGGTGGGAAATGGGACCACGCACGACCAGGACCCAGGGCCAACTCGAAACGAACTGCGATCCCATCAACTGGGTCGTGGCCCTCAAGCTTAACCCTCCTCGGCTCAACCTGCCCTCTGCACTCATTTGGCTCTCTGACCCATGCTGTCAAGATCTCACGCTTCTTTAGCGGAGCCTCCCACCAAAAGACGCACACTCGAAGGCCGTTGCCTCCCTCGTCCGCGGCTGCACACGCCCGAACTCCGTCATAACTCACAACCCATGGGACCAGAAACACTTAGATTACCATGTCGACGGGCTCGAACCTGTAATTCCCCAAGGCTTGCGTGTCCCCCCGGTGTTGATGGCGTC